TATTTTGACTGACATTTATTCCATCATGCAATGCCGTTGGGAGTGTGCTCATCTTCCTCCGATCTAAGAGTACAGACCTGCTCTGCCAGTCCCGGGCCCGCATGGAGTACAGCGGAGCCCAGGATAGCCGGCAGCGGAGGGGGATCCACACCCCCATTCCCACACAAGCGAACAGACAACTCTATAGCCAATACTGGCTGTTTAAAACGGTGCACGTGCAGGGCGGCGAAAGGGAAAGGACGTTTAAAAACACCCATCTGCTCTTAAGTTTCTGCCATCTGGTCGTTTATTTCCAATCAGCTGGATGGCAAGGGGTTAAAATACTTTGCACTGTGCTTTAATTTGGTGACAGGGCCTCTTTAAAGCTTATATGAAGTCACTACATACATAGCACGCTGTGATGTGTAAAAAGCAATCTCATGTCAAACACTAGTTTTTCCCCTAAAAAGAGCCATTGCTTTACCGTAATGTAGGATTTTATCTGGCAGTCACATGACCGCACAGGCTTTCTGCACATCCTTTTTTCCAGAGCGCAGGGGCATTGCCACATTCACTGAGGGCTGGCAGTATCCCATCTTGCTACGCTGTGCTCCAGAACACATTCTCTGCTGCGTTCCATGCAATGTGTTACACTGTGGTCGGCGAGGCTCTTGCTAGGAGCCGCTGTCAGTTAGGACAATAAGGGGTGACTACAAGCACCTACAGCCCCAATCAGGAACTGAAGGACACAAACTGCTACGCCAGCATGGATCTGCTTCTGTGTATAGCATGGCCAGAAAATGTAAGGAGGAGAGTGGGACTGGCAGGGTCACCAGGTATTTTCTGCTAATAATGGAACATTATCATTGCTTGCTGGCAGCAATGCATGAAGGGCTATGTAGTCTTGCAAAATCACAATAGCATCACATCAACGGATGCAAAGCTCACAATTTCCTCCAAAGCGGAGGTCTTATTTACCTCCCCTTTTCTTATTGCCCATATGGTGGCATTTCCTAATAAATTGTTGCAGCACAGTGTCAGAATGTAAAAATGTGACACCTAAAAACGTCCTGAATTTGTCGCATACCTCGCAAATAGCAAGAAAACTATCGTGCGCTTTCATGAATTTGGCGCAGGACTTTCCAATACGACCAAAGCGCCAAGAAAGTGTCGCGCATGCTTTATTGAATTGCCCCCAATACGTTTTGCAGACACAACATAGTTTTTTTTTATTGAGGGCCAAAAATCCCCAAACAGTTGTATGTAGGTTGGCTGGACCTATGCTAAAGACCAGCAATTGTACATGGGCAGTTGATTTGCATATTATAGATGCATATGATTTGCATGGCTTTGCACATTATCCATAAATGAGAGATTTGTGCCCAAAGCAATGACATGAATAATTTCTGTTTTAAGAGGCCAAACCAGGGGTGGGCAACCTTGGCCTTCCAGCCATTGTGGAAGTACACGTCCCATGAAGCATTGCACGGCAGACAGTTACGGGCATGACTTCCAGAGGCAGAGGTATGTTGGGATTTGTAGTTAAAGCACAGCTGGAGGGCCGCACCTGCCCACCCCTGTACCAAACTGTACTTTGCAGAGCTGTAAGAAACTACACCTTTTGGTTAATATAACCCAAACTATTCCCATCGCCCTTTCCCCCAAGTCACCATGAGCTGGCTACTCTCTGCTTTTCTGTGCATTCATTCTGCTGAAGTACTAGAATTAATGGAAACAATGTATAGATAATTATAAATGATGATTAAACACTTTGGTTAAATCATTTTACGTTTGTCTTTCTGATTGCAGTCAGAACTCTGATGCTTCCTATGTGTAAATAGCAATGTTATCTTTGAATCAATTTTCTGATTTTCTTGCTGTGACAATTTTTCACCATTACATTTCTGATTAAATTGTGTAGATGTTCGGCTTGCGCTTATCTGTATGTCGGAAAGCCAATCAGCATCATTGCTAAATGACAAAAATATCTATTTGGTTCCGGCTACGTCAGTGATCTTAATCTCTTCCTGCTGAGAAATGCAACCACTTCATCTTTAGCATACTGAAACAATTGTGCTGCTAAAAGTGTATTTCCACTTTTGCAGTCAAATTTGAGAAAACCCCTCTATATGTTTCTGTGATCCTATTCACACAACATAACTCAAAATATTGAAAACAAATTATTTCGTAGGTGTGAGTGCGTAGCTGGAGCCGTTGCAAGCTTCTCTCCTAATTTCCAAGTGACAGGAAACTTTGTCTGTCCCCATAGAAAGACCAGGGACAGACTGAGAGTACTCTCATTAACATATAATGCTTCTACATGAGTGCTTCTCAACCTTTTTTCCAGTCATGGCACCCTTTAAAAGTATGCAAAATGTTGAGGCACCCCAGTCTGAAATGTAAAAGACGATGTGTGGCCCTTCCAAAATCCATACCAGACCTTTATCCCAGATAGGGGTTTGGCATGGATTTTAAGGGGGGAGACCACGCAAAAACACAGAAACAATGGGGTTCCCCTTTACATCAGGTCATGCCTTCCCATCAGGAGCCCACTTCACATTAGAGGCCCCGCCCAGCCACCTGTGACAGCGAGGATGGAGAGTGGGTATTAGTGATCGCTGAGTGTTTGTACATAATTGAGGATATAGTATGTTTACTATATCCTCAATTATGAATGAATGGGAAGTGATCTACATCACTATGTCCACAAGTTATAAATGAACAGAAACACTGAGTATAGAGGATTCCTGTTCATTTATAACAGGGCTCTCTGTCCTCAATCTCTTTTTCTATTTTAAAAGGGAAATATCAGGAGTAGCCCCCAAAAGTAAAGTAAAAAATACAAAATATTTAATAAAAAAATGAATGAATAAATAAAAATAAATATTACGTTTTTTACAAAGTTTATAAAAAATAAAATAAAATATTTAAAACATTTGAAAGAGTTAAAATAA